ACAAAAAACGTATCATAACAAAACAATAAACAATCACGTGATCTCGTGTTATGATACGAGATTTTTGTAAAATTATTTTCTAAAAATATTAAGTTTAAAAATTCCGTATACATTCCGTATGATTAATTTTTTCCGTATACATTTCGTATACATTAGTTTTTTAAAAAATGTTCAAAAATGAATTGCTTATTAAATATACGGAATTTGTGTACGGAATCTATAGAAACGTACATAAAATGTATACAAAACGTATCCTTTCCGTATACATATTTCTTATAGGGAGATTTTATTGCAAGTTATAACCAAAGCGCGGGATATTTTTTAACTTAAAATACAGTTGTTCGATAAGTTCAGGATATAAAGTTTCTTTAACCGTCTATATATTTTAACCACCGATCTGATATTTTACAAACAAACTGAATACTTTTGTTTTTTGATTAATTAAAATAAAATAAGGCAAGTAAGCTTGCTACTTTGCTACGTGTTATAGTCTAGCATTAATAAATATGTTTTTTTCTTGCTAATAAAATAAATACGTTATGTTGGTTATAATTTATTAATAAATATTTATACATAATATCTTATTAATATAATAACAATTATATTCTTTCTTTTTTGCGTTTTAAGCAGATATCTCTACTGTTCTATAGAGCTACTATTGCAGCAGATGATATGTATACAAACAAATTATCTTTTTCAATGGCTTTACCGACCAGATAAGAAATTATTACCGGTTCTATTTTGTAAAATAATCTCCGCTAAAAATTTTATTACTTCACCATAATCATACAAGACGTTAATTTAATTTCTTTTTTTTAATAAAATGCATTCTCTAGTAAAAAAAATATACAATGTTTGTTAAATTATTTATCTACTTTCGATTGTTCAAAAAAACTGAGAATCTAAACATGTTCTGAAGCATGATTAACATGATTGAACCAAAATTTGTTGATGAGAAATATTTTAAATGAATTTTATATACAAGAAATCGATAAATGAATTGTATATATTTTAATTTAACAGAAAACAGATTTAACAATTTCTTGGAAATAATAAAATTTTTTGTATTTACTTATTGTATACAAAGATTCTGTTAAATGATTAAAGTTACTAAATCTTTATCTTTAAAATGAGGAAATAATAATTTACGAATAGTAGACAAATACAAATTTCTAAAACTTTTATTTAGTTGACGCATCTAAATCTCTAACATCCATATATCAAAGAAAATCATTTTAATAATACGATACAAAATAAATATTTAATTGGCAAAACTTGGAAATATTTTAATAATTTTTTTTATTTTTTTATTTTTAAATAGTAAACATCCATTATTTAAATTTTATGTTAATATGGTAAAAGACCTATATTATTGTTTTTTTTTACAAAAAAAACATTATAGTTTTGTGAAACTTTCCCACTTACTAAATTTATCCTGGAATTACTATTTTCCTCAAATTTCGTGCCGATCTTTTGTACAATCTTAGTCCCACAGAAATGCATAGAAGATCAGCGGACTTTCGACATGGAAATGTCTGGTGATACTATAGGACCCCGAAAAATACATATGGAAGTCATAAATGATCGGCAAGATTTTGGCCTAAAATAAGCAACTTTTCAGGGCCGGAATTATGATAATGCTAGCCAGTATCAAAACGGACAATAAAATTTAGGCCAGCACTATCTAAAAAAGGCAAGATTTTCATGAAAATTTAGGTTCTTTTTAAGCAAACTCAAATGTGACCTTTTTATGTATTTTTCGGGGTCCTGATACTATCCTATCTATAAATAGTTAATAATATTTTGTATTTTCTTTTTTAAATTCTTACCTTTATATTAATAAAACCGTAAAATTAACTTCCGCAGTAAAAAATTTTTTTGCACTTAACAATGTCTAATAACACTGAACTTATTAACAATTCAAATGAATGTAATTGGATAGAAGAAGCCATTTCTAAAAAACTTATTAAATTTTATGAATTTGGCCAATTTTATAATCTTCAAGAAATTGGTTCTGGAGGCTTCGGAAAAGTTTATCGTGCAGATTGGAAGGATTCCCACAAATGTTGTGCACTTAAATCTTTTTATAATTTAAATGGTGCTACAATTGAAGCAATTGTTCGTGAGGTAATTATAATATAAAAAAAAATTTTCAATTATTATAATGTTTACATTTCTAATATAATTTTTTTTTTATCATTTAGATTCAACATCATCGTGAAGTTGATTTTTATGATAATGTTATCCGTTTTTATGGCGTCACAACTTTCAGTAGGGATACGATAAGTTTTCAATAATCATTTTTTAACATATAATCATTAATTAACTTATGGATTTTTCTTTTTATAAGAAAATCAAATCAAAGAATATTCGTTGGTGATAGAATATGCGGACGGTGGTACACTTCGAGATTATTTGAAAGAAAATTTTGAAAATCTTACGTGGAACAATAAATTTAGTCTTGCATTTCAACTGGTTTATGCAGTATCATGCTTACATGGTGAAGGAATCGTGCATCGTGATTTGGTAATTAATCAATTTATGATTTATTATAATTGTTTTTATTTAATGCTCATCTTTAGTTTAATCTATTTAAACTTAATAATAGCACTCCAAAAATATATTGGTCCATCAGAATATTGTTAAGTTAGCCGATTTTGGACTTTCTAAAAGGATTGAGGAATCATCCAATCTTCAATCAAAAGTATTTGGAATGATTACTCATGTTGATCCGAAAATATTCAATAGAAAAAGAAATATTAACAATAACCAGCTAGAAGTATACTCATTAAACGAGAAGAGTGATGTTTACAGTATTGGCATACTCTTATGGGAAATTTCTAGCGGACGACCACCCTTTTGTAACGAATTGAACGATCTCGGTTTGGCCATGGAAATTTTACAAGGTCTTAGAGAGATACCCATTCCTGATACACCTGGAGAATATATAAAAATTTATACTGGTAAATACTATTTAAACCTATGATTTAAAAATAGTAATATAAATTTCAATTAATATATATTTTTTATAGATTGTTGGAATATTGAACCTGATGATCGTCCATTTATCAACCAAGTGTTTGATAAATTAAAAGAAATTATAAAAAAAAGAAATATAATTATCAACGACTTTCACTTATTTAATGGTAATAAAATTACACAATCACCTAATAATCAGCAGCCAATTTTGGATAGTGAAATTTCAGAAAATATTGATTCATTACATGGAGATATGTCTCAAGTCATTCAAAACTTCAATATGATGAATACAAAAGAAATAGAATCTTCGATGTCATCAAGTAACCAATTTGAGAATAACTTTGATACAATGGTTAATGAAATATTAACTATTATTTTTAATGATTATAATGAAGTAATAAAGCGAAATGTCCTAAATTATCTTAATAATCATAATATAACTTTGCAAGAATTTAATAATTTATTATTAGATAATCAAAATAATTCAAATTCTCTTGCCTTACTTGGAGAATGTAATCTTTATGGAATTGGAACTGACATTGATAGGAAAAAAGCATTTGAATCATATCAAAAAGCAGCAGATTTAGGAAATTCATTTGGAATAATCTGTTTAGGATATTGTTACCGGAATGGAACTGGAACTGATATTGATAATAAAAAAGCATTTGAATTATATCAAAAGGCAGCGGATTTAGGAAACAGTTCAGCTCAATATAATCTTGCTTTTATGTATGAATATGGAAAAGGAATTGTTAAAAATATAGATAAAGCTATTTATTGGTACAAAAAATCAGCTGAACAAGGGCTTCAAGTAGCTCAAGATAAATTGGAAAAACTTATAAATGGGAAATAAAAGAACAATCAATCCATCAGGATAAATTAAAATAATTGTTTAAATATTTAAATAAAATCACTGCTACCAAATACTGAAAACAGTTATTTATTTTCTGTTTTTTAAATATTTATTAAAATTGGCCACTCATAATTTTAAATATTAATTAATAATTTCTAATAGCTAAAAAAATTCATGCGCTGATATTTATTTATGTAAAATTCATGATGAATTTATTTAAATAAAATCAATACATTATTAGTTTTTACCATATCAATACTTGTGTATATTATAAACTTTATATTCCTTATTTAAACTTTATAGACTTTACAAATATATTGTAGTTTATATTATAGATGTAAATTCAATACATTTATTTATTTGTATTATATCCTTTTTTGAATTCAAATTTTGAAAAAATAATATAGCTTGAAATCTTAATATTTTTCTTCAACTATCACCTGAAAGGTATATGTTTATTTTATATTAAATAAATTTAATAGCTCAAGTAGGGGTGGCAATGGTTGGTCACAGTCAATATTGGTCAGTCATAACCGGTTAAGGGCCTTTGACCGACCGACCATTACCATTTAACTGACCATTTAACCGATTACTTTTTTCTTTTTAACGAATTTTAATCAAGAAAAAATGTTAAAAAGTGTAATTCAATCAAAAAAAAACGTTATTTAACTTTGTTTATTGATTAAGCTCATAAAAAAAGTGTTAAATAAAAAATTTGGCTAAATAATCAGTCAAATGGTTGGTAAAACGGTCAGTCAAACGGTTGGTCAAACCAGTCAGTTAAACGGTCAGTCAGGAGCCTTTAACTGACCGATATCGGTCACGGTCATAACCGGTCATGACCGGTTAATAACTGTGACCGTTGCCATCCCTAATGTCAAGTCAAATTAATAAAGAATATTCAAACCAAAAATTTTTTGTTAATACTTTATGATTCTTATTAATATTTCTTTAGAAATTTAAAATTAATTTCATTCATTCAAAATTAACATATATTTATTATAATACAGTATCGAATTAATTGGCATAAATTTTATTTATGATTATTAATTAAACTAATAAATTAGTCAAGGGACTATTTTAATATTGTTGTTAATTAAGTAATTATAAATAATGGTCATTTTCTACTTGACTGTATTCATGAGACTTAAAACGTAATATTAATTAACCATCAGCATGAAATATATTTATATTTAGATATTTTGATTTTCTGGAAAAATATCGATATTACATAAGACCTGATTTGAAAATAATTACTATTTACATATGAAATGAATAAATAATTAAATAAAAAGGTTACTCAATATTTAAATGTAATCTTTAGAATACAGTACCTCGCGTAAAAGTGTCTTACTCAACGTATAAATACTTGTTCTTTCTCTTTTATTAAATATTTTTTAAAAGTATTTTCGGATTAGAACAATTGTGTGATTTTATATAGAGCTTACTTTAAATTAATGGTATTATTTATATTATTAAATACTGTATTTTATTTTTATATGGTTACAACGCTTGATCAAAGTGAAGTTCTTTATATACTATAGGTAAAATTGTTTTGACAGGGATGGAATTGAAAATATTCATCATGTTAACTTTATATACACGGAGATCATAGAGATGTAACTTATCTTTTAGTATTGCCTGTATTTGTATAATTTAGAAATACTTAGTATAATTAAAACATCTTTTAATAACTTCTAAAATGTGTTCCTAAAATTCAAATTGATTATGAATAAAACCAAAATTATTATTAATTACAAATAATCACATAATTTCACAATTTGAAATTTGGAAGCTTTCTTTTTGATAAAAATATCATAACATTACTATTTAATAAAATATGCGTTTGAAATTTGTAAAAAATTCATCTAAGGAACAATTTTGACAAAATTGGTACAAATTTACAAATAATCACATAATAAAATCACTATTATCTTACTTCCTTCGTATGTTTATTACATTAATTTTAAACTCCAACAAGGATCCTGAAATATATAAAAAGGTCGCGACATCCAAAAAATTTTACTATTAGCCGCTCTTTGTCAGGACTGAAATTATGATAATTTTGGTTAATGTTCAAAAAAGATAATAGCTTCTCACCCGGAGAGGAAAGATTTTCATGATTTTTTTTGACTGGTTGTAAACCATGTATATTAAAGGTTAGAGGCCTGTAAACGGACCCCTTGTCATAATAATTTGCATAATATAGGTAATAACATTGTATTTCTCTGAAAATTAAGCACTAACGAAAATAAACACCACTGGCCAGAATTATGGATTTTAGTCTAAATTATGTTATTTCTGGCGGGAATTATGTGCAAAATTGAGGTGCCTAATTTCGTAGGAATGCGTTAGTTATAAAATATTAAATTACAAAGCAATTATATGTAGCCAAACTGAATTGGTAAATATATTGCTAATAACCATATAAAAGTGGTATGGTATATAGTACGGATAATCTTGATCAGAATTATGTCTTCAGTCTGTTATTAACCGAATAAATTATTTAGTTAAACTGGTATCAATATTTTTATTGGTAAAATTAAGGAAACTCTGATTTTAAATTGTGTAAAATTATTAATTTATTAAATAAACTAAAAACTGATAAAACATTTGGCGGCCGAAAAAGGGCCAATTTTTTTTTTCTGATTTCAAAGTTAATAATTGAATGATCAACTTTACCAGAAATTAATTTATTTTCGACAATTATTCTATTTCACGCCACAGAAAAGTTTCATCGTTATAATATACTATTTTTCTAATACAGTAATAGATCATAGAAGATAAAAAATGATACAAGATTACAAGATTATTGGAGTAACATTCAAAGCGATGATTAATATTAGGTAATATTATTAAGACGCAAAAGATGCAGAAACAAATTAAAAAATTTTTTCACTTTATAACGAACTTGAACATTTTTAAAGATGATTTAAATAATGTGATATTTACATCATAAAATCAATTTCTAAATATATATATAGAACGTTCATTATACAGTATAATTTGATTATATTATTGGGATGAAAAACTCCTTTAAATAATATAAAAAGAGTTACGTAATTGATAGAAAATTGCTATGGATTAACACTTGATTTCATTAGGTTTAGATTAAAACATGCATAGATTATATTGGTAAATACAGTATAGTATAAAGCTGAAGAATTAAAAAGGAGACAAAAAGATGAACATAAATATGGATTAAGAAACCCAACTGTTTGTACCATAATCTTGGATCGAAACTCACTGACCTATTCTCACGATGCACAGATGCCAGTTGTTGTGGACCGCCCAGAGCCAAAGAAGCCATGGACTTTCCTTATAATGGCTTCATACCGCCAACAACTAAAGCTAAAGATGGTCAGTTTGCAAATCCAATACATCTTCAATATGGAGCTTCTTTTAAAAATACCGGGTCAGGCTTACCTTCGCCGCCTTTTTTTCTAGGACCTAGATTCTACAAATCGGAAAAATTAAGGTTAGTACCATATATATATTTTTTTAATGTTTGCATTACATTTCTTTTACTTACCCTTTCCTTATTTTTCTTTAGATCTGAAGTCTACAAATCAGAAAACAATAAAGTTAGTAATTTTTTTTTTTAATATTTGTCGTATTACATTTCGTCCAACTTACCCTTTTTTTTGTTTATCTTTAGGCTCGGAATTCTATAGTATTAAAAGTAATACTACATCAAATTCTGATATATTTAAAATGACAAATATACATACTAAAAATTTTAAAAATTTTATTTTAACGCATTAAAATAATTATAGAACTTTATTCATGTTATCGCTTAACGTCGTGGTTACAAATACAAGAATTAAATTAGCCATCCTTTAATTATTATAAAATAGTGTCAGAACCTTTTTTTTGAATCCATTCAAAATCATCATAACTGATATTATTAGGATTTTCAAGGTCATATTTTTTAATTATACCTTTTTCTTTATATATTTGAAAAAGATCTTCTAATTGCTGTTGTTGTTGTCGTTCAATGTATGTATGTTCAGTTGAAATTATTTGCAATAAAATAGGATTTCTATCATTCCAATTATTGAGAAATAATTTTAAAGCTTTCAATTTATATTGCCAACTAAAAGAAAATTTAAATTTAAACTTAAACAAACTAAATGGTGAAAATTTTGCCAAAGTTTCGAATAATTTATCCCAATCAATAAAACAACCATATATACCAATAATTTGTAAACCAATTAAAGATTGACAATTAATTAATAAATTTTCAAAATCTAAAGTATTACTATTAAATGAAGATAATTTAAGGTAACAAAGTTTCGGACAATTTTGGGAAATTGCCTTTAAAAGTCTTCCATCATCAACATCTTGATAATGAATATTGATTTCAATGAGATTTCCTTTTGTATTTTTAATTAAACATGCCAAAATCCAAGATGAAATTTGATGAGTTTTTAAAAATTTTAAAAGTGGTAAAGAAACTTTTTCCAAATGATTCCAATTTGTATAATCATAACATGAATTTATTATATATAAACTTACTAAATTAATGAGATTTGAAAGAAAATTTGTGATAGGTTTCCAATCTATTCTCAAATATTGGATAGTATTTTCACAATTAATTAATGATTCTTCAAGTGATTTATGACATAATTCATTACTAATACGTAAATGATTATAGATGAAATTGACTTCTTTCAGGTTTTTTTGAACTTTAATTAATTTAATGATTCCAAGATAATTATTGGTATGTACCATAATATTAAAACCCAATTTTTTAATTGATGTATTTGTTAAGGCCAAACCTCCTAAAAAGTTGCTATTAGTATTACTATCACAATAAAAATGATCAAGTTTTGAAAAGTAAAGTTCAGTTCCTGAAATAAGATAAGATAATTTTGGTATAGATTTAATAGAAAGTGAATTAAATGTTGTATTTAAATTAAATAGATTCAATATTTCGTCTCTTATAATAGAAATTTTTGATAATTCAATATTTTTATCTTTCACAAATACGTTCATTATGAATTCTAAAAATTTTGAATCTAAATGTTTCCAAAAACTAATATAATTAAATAAAGGTCGTTGATATGTTTCAGTAAAAATATCAATTCCTTGATTCATCATATTATCCTTTGACTCTCCTGATAAATGTGAAAGTATTACACTAAGTAAAATTTTACATGCATTTTCGGTTAACTGATGTCGACTAGGATTCTTCCATAAAATCGGTACCACGGTTTCACACCAAATTCTGTTTATTAAAAGACATGAATAAAAAGATTTACTATCATTTTGCAAATTTTTCAATATTAGAAAAATCACGTCTTTATTAAGTTCAGACATTTTTAAGGTTGAAAAAAAAATTTAAAAATTTGCACCTTATTAATTAATTTGGATGGCGTAAAATGTGTAACGATATTAAATTTCTAATTTGTAATCCAAGTGAAGATCTACATTCGGAGTTAGTGATTTCGGAGTTAGTGATCTGCAATGTTTATTACCGTGCCTGCGGTTGTTCGTTCATTATATTGTAACAAGAAAAAAAATTATAACTTATTCTTTTATTAGTATTTTACAAATAATTTATAATAAGTACTATTTAAAATTTTTAAAAAAGAAAGAAAATTTTATTAATATAAATTTTAAGACCAATTAATAAATCAATATTAACGTACAAAATCTCAAGTTAATTTTCAACTTTTCATTCATAAAGTTGATAAAAACATTTCTAATCTATAACAAACCAAATAATTAATCAATTTCATTTACATATCTATAAATATCAAAGTATAAATTATCATAATTTAGAACTTTAATATTATATAAATTAAATTCCTTCACTTCATCTTTTTTATTAAACAAATTTATACTTTTCCCATTGAAATTATCTTTAATAGCCAAATATTTTACTCTCTTCTTCTTCATGATATGTTCTTTTATATAAGGTAAAATATCACCATTTTCTTCCAAATTATTAATTACTAATTTCTTAGAGAAAGTATCATGAGAATTTTTTAAGAATACTTCAAAGTCATTTGCTTTAACGTAAATAAACAAACCTAAATATTCAAGTTTAGAAGGAAGTGCTTTTCCTAAATTTTGTAATATTAATAACTTGACATTATAATCTGCTCGAAAACCTTTTATATCAATTGAAAGATAATTGAGATTTTGTTTAACATTTTCAATTAAATCAAATAATGTAGGAATAATGTGAGCTTCAACCCCAAATAAACTAAGAACTTTGATATTTCTGCAATATTTTGTAATTAATTCTAATAATTGTCTTAATGACGGACTATAATTAAAATTACATCCTAAATTTTCTAAATAATTACCACATTTTTGTAATAATTGTAATAATAATTGTAATGGATTAATATTCCATTTTCTGTATAGATATAAAGATTTCAATTTAAATGGTTTTGTTAAGTTAATAATTTGTTGAATAAAACTATCTAAAGAAATACAATAAATGATATGAACAGATTCTAAAACATTTAATTTTTCAAATATTTCAACTAAATTATTTATACCTTTAAAATCGACATAATAGAAAATGATTGTATTTAAGGTATTTGAACAATTAAATTCTTTTGATAATAATAATGATTGATATAAATATAAATTATAATAACCTAATAAAATTCTTTTAAGATTTTGTTGTGAACTAGTTATTTGTGATATATGTTCAATTAACGTATTAGAACTTAAAATAGAAAATTTTAAATTTTTAATATTGTTAATGAAATTTGAATCTTGTAAAATTATCTCAAGAATATTATCATAAATTTTATCATCATAATTATTATAACAGATTATCTCAATTTCAAAAGTATGTAAATTTACTTTATTTTCAATAAATGATTTAATTAATGAGATATTAATTAATATTTTGAATTCGGGTGTTGTTGAAGTTTTATAATTAGATTTTAACCATCTCTCAATAGAAATAATGATTTTATATATATTCAAATATCTTATAAAACTAGGGTAATTGAAAAGTACTTTATTCGAAGGTAATAAATAATCAATAATTTGATATTCATTTATTTTTGTTTTTAAATCATCGTTCAAATTTTGTAAGTAAACTTCAATAAAATTATAATTATTGGTAAAATATGAAAATGGATTTTCCCATAATAATGGAATCGCTAAACGACACCATAATCTATTAATTAAAACGCATGAATATAAGGTTGAATAATCATTCTGAAAATTTTTGATGATTTCATATATTAATTCAGGTAAATCTCCTGAAAATATTTTTGAACATGACATTTTGTAAACGGAAGGAAGAAAGGAAAAAAAAAAAATTGTGGCGTTCATTTGCCAAACTGAGTAAATTTATATTTCCATTTTTTGGGGGTGGTGAGTCCGATATTGTCTCACAATTAATGTCTGTGCGACATGTTTTAATAATTATATGTATTGTGCAGATCATTAGATGACAATCAATAAACGTCAAGTTATATAAAAGTTATTGAAGTTTTTTTTTTGTAAAAAGCTAACTTTAATAAAAAATTTGTCTACCAGTTTTTTTTAATAAAAAAAAATTCCGATATTATGAAAATATAAAAAATTGGTATATATCAATTTTTCTTATTCAAAAGAATGTTGCGAAGTCGCGGTGACTGGTTGATCATTTCGCCTAATCTTCTATATAATTAAAAAAAAAAGATTGTGTAACCGAGTAACCTGTATAAATAATTTTGAATTGCGCGACATGCGTCTGATCTATTCTAAATAGTTATTGGATGTGGGAATAGAGATATCGGTCGAAGACCGATATCCCCATCCAATAACTGAGTTCAGTCATTATGATTAAATAGGAATTAATGATACTAATACTGATTTCAAAATTGGATGTCTTATAAAAATATCGGTCAGTACAATCCCGCATATTCCTAATCGACTGAAAAATAAAATAACATGTTTTATAGTTTTCCCGGTAACTAGCATTTTGCTAATACTAAAAAGTAATAGACAATTAACTTTTTTTGGATAATAATAATAATAATAATATAGAAAAAATTATTTTTATAGTAATAAGATCGCTATAATGTGATTTTGGAGAATTTTTTTTTTCGGTTGCAAATTAAACAACAAAATCGTTATAATGTTATTTTTTGGGAATATTTTTTTTTAACAATAGAATATGCAAATTTTATTTTTTTTAATGAATTTATAAATATATAAATAAATCATATTATCCCACGGTTCCTAGTTAAAATTTGTGATTTTTTTTCTTGATATTCTCACGGGTGGGTTTATTTAAAAAGATGGATAAAGAGTCTATCAATATTGGAACAAAAAGTCTATCATTATTAGTCAAAATAAGTATATTAAAGGGCTTTATGGTACGATACCGTGAGATAAATCAGTTATTTTACGGAGTCACTTTCACGGCTGTGCCGTGAAAATCATTGATATCTATTACTTCTATATCTGATGTTTGGATTAGTCTTCGTATAAATAATTTGAATTGTGTAACTTGAAGCCCATGCCGCTTGATCTATTTCCAGTCAACCAATCCAATTTCAGTTAATAAAATTTTACCTTAATCGGAATTTTTTTTTTCAGTTTAGTTTTTTTTTTCAACCGAAAAATTTGTTTTTTTTCATTCTTTTCCCGTTTAGGTTTAATTTTTTTCCCAAACTGATTAAATAATCCCTATTATTTTTTTTCGATCTTTTTTTTTTTTTAGACCGTATTGTTATTTTCTTTAAAAATTTTTTTTTTCGCTCTTTTTGGATCGGATTATTGTCCTTTTTTTTTCAGAATTTTTTTTTGTACTTATTTTTTATTTTCAGATTCCTTTTTTTCGGAATTTACCTTTTTTTTAAACTGATTTCTTTCTCCTTTTTCTTCCCCCCAAATTTTTTTTAAAATTTTTTTTTTCTTTCTTTCAATTTTTTTTATTATTAAAATTTATATTAAATATATTTACAGAATTATTATTTTTTTTTAAAAAAATCAATATAACATGTAGGAAAATTGGCTGACGTTGATAGAAAGATGAGTAAGATTTTTTCAATTAAATTAAACGCTGGATAAATAGTTTTATTTTCAAATTCATTAAAAATCCAAAAAAAAAAATTGATATTTTTATATACTACTTTATAATTAATTAATTGAAGAAATTGTTGATTTAATAATAGATTATTATTAACCAAATCCATATCCGAAATTCTCTAATTCAAATGGTTTAGTTAAATTAATAATTTATCAAGTAAAATGAGTACCAAAAGAATAATAATAAATGAAATGAATAGATTCTAATACCTAAGTTGGTTATAAGTTTAAGATTGATGTAATATAAAATAAGAAATAATTATAAAATTTATAATTAATTAATAAAAATATTTGTAGTATTAAAAGTTTTTTCGAAAATACTTCTAAAAAATTAATCAAAAAAATGAGGGTGAATGAAAAAATAGGGAGAGTAAAAGGGAATAAAAGAAATGAAGGGGGAGTGAGGGAGGAACGAAATGGAGCAAAGGGGGAGCGAAAGAAACAAAAGGAACGAAAAAGATCAAGTGGGAATGAAAAAAAAATGAAAAGAATGAAGAGGGACTAAATGGAGCAAAGGGGAATAAAAAAATGAAAGGAACAAAGGATAGTGTAAAGAGAAGTGGGAATGGAAAAAAATGAAAATAACAAAGGATAGTGTAAAGGAACGAAAAAGATGAAGTGAGAATGGAATAAAAATGAAAGGAACGAAGGATAGTGTAAAGGAATGAAAAAGATGTAAGGAACGAAGGAGAAAAACAACAGAAAAAATGAAGGAAGGGAAGAATAAAAAGAGCAAAAGAAATGAAGAGACAAGAAGAAAACAAAAAAATGGAGAAGAGACGAAAATAGATAAACAGGGGACCAAGTAAACATTAAATAAAAGTAGAAATAAAGTTAGTAGGGAACGGAAATTACATGTAATAAATATACAAAAACAGAAAAATAAAAACATACAGAGTAGAACCGAAAGACCTAAAAGGAATGAAATACAAAATGTAATAAACGAAATATTAAGAATGGAATAAAAAATAACTAAGAAGAAACGACCATATAGTGCTGGTCATATCTTAATTGCAAAATCGAAAGAGCCAAAGGATCTAAAAAAATGAAACAAAGTTAGTAGGAAACAAAATGCAAGAAACAAAAATGAAAAAAAAGAAAGAAACCGTATCTTGAGTGCCGTACAAAGAAGTGAAAGGACCTAAAGAAAATAAGATTATCCGAGTACGTTTAAAAAGGTTAAAAAAAATAAACATAAGAAATACAAATTTAATAATGAGGTAAAAATTGTTCCTTAATTAATCCAAATTTCATTCTACACTCAAACGTCAAATCATTAATATAAGCTATTATTGTAAATATTATAAATATAATTTATTATTTTATTATTTTTTGTTAACTAATTATTACCATATTAAATTCCTAAAAATTACTGTAACCATCTTTAATTTACTTAGTATTACATTTTAATACTAAATTCTTCTATTTAAACAAACTCATTGGTCCCGGTGCGAAGCAACGGTGACTGCTAGTATTATTTTAATTTAATTGTCAGAAGAATTTTTTTAGTTAAAATTGGTAATTATTATGTGAAATATTTAATATAGTAATAATATATACTGAAATTTTATATAATAATACTTTGCAATAATGTAATTCTTTACAGTTATTATATATTAATTTTTACCATAATCAAGAAATACTTTTACTGGTAACAACTTTTTATACTTAGTCCAATTATTAAACTTAATAATGCTGTATATAATTATTATTTCATTATAATATGTAATTTATATCCAAAATTCTTTTAATAGGGAGTGGACGATTTAGTAGAAGATAATGATCGTAAAATGAAAATAAAGATTTCAAGCTACTTACAACGGTTGTTGATACAATACAAAAGTTCAAATTAGGGTTGTTAGAAAAAGAAAACCAGTTATTGTATAAAGACCAATCAGTAATTACATCAGAGGAAGCTATTTGAAGAAACGAAAAAAAGATTTAAATGAAATAGGTGGTGGTATTTCAAGCTCATGTGTTAATATCACTGAGGAATGTACCGTACCTTTAGAACTTGGAAGAAATAAAAAAAAGGATGATCTGGTTAGTGGCCTTAAAAAATGTAATAAGGAATAAATAGCAAATAATGACGATGTTTTGGGGGATAGATATACAAATAATCAGCGTAATTTTCAGTTAGAAGTGATTAAACATTAACGTAAATAGTTAATTTATAAGTTTAGTATCATAGATAATGACAGAAAACGATATATAAAGTTTAGATGGTGTATTTTATATGCACTTAAGTGTAAGTAGTCAAGAATTTGTTCTTTTTTTTTTGAGAAAATTTATTAAATATTTAGTTATTAAAATTTATATTATATTTATTTTGTTTTAAAAATTGAAAACTATAGAACTTGTTAAACATACATTAAATAAAAAAATTGCTATAAGATACTGTATCCATGATAACTTAAATACTTTCTATACTAAATATTCATGGATATTATAATATACTTTCATATATTTTCATATATTTTATACTAATTTGAGTTTTGCAACTATAGGATTTTATTTAAATTCCTATTTAATATAATAATAATTACAAAAATATTTAGATAAAAAATTACTTAATTTTACTCTTAATTTTATAGAAATAAATTATATAATTTATTCCTTTAAAAGTTGCTTTAATTTTTTTTGAGCATATTTATATCCCTGTTCAGCAGATTTTTGGTACCAATAAATTGCTTGGTCCATATCTTTTTTAACATCACTTCCACTTTCATACATTTTAGCAAGATTATATTGAGCTGTACTACTTCCTAAATGCGCTGCTTTTTGATATAATTCAAATACCTTCTTTTTATCAACATTAGTTCCAATTCCATTTTCATAACACCACACTAAGTTTTTTATTGCAATTAAATTCTCTAAATCAGCCGCTTTTTTATATAATTCAAATGCTTTTTGATTATTAATATTAGTCCCAATTCCTTCTTTAAAGCAATATCCCAAACTACTCATTCCATATGAATTTCCCAAATCTGCTGCTTTCTGGAACAATTCAAAGCACTTCAGTGTATTAATATCAGTTCCAATCCCTTCATAATAACACCAACCCAAATTATTAATTCCGTTAATATTTCCTAAATCTACTGCCTTTTGATAAAATTCAAATGCTTTATCTTCATTAACATTAGTTCCGATTCCAACTTCATAGCAATAACCTAAATTATTGATTCCACATGCATATTCTTCTTCTG